TACGTACGCATGTATGTACTTACGTATGCATGTATGTACTTACGTACGCATGTATGTACTTACGTACGCATGTATGACCACATGGTCATGACATTCCTATTCCAAAACATCGACACGATATGCCATGTACATAATCTTCAGATTATTCAGACTAATGTGAAAGTGAAATGGAAATTACTGATTTCTTCAAAGAAGAGAGAAGACCTCAGTTGTTTAATTATGAACTTAATGATTTGATGCAAGATTCTTGGCCTCTCAAAGGAATCGTGCAGGTTTTAGGCTGATGGGTGAAAGACAAAAATGTGTTTTCTCTAAGCAGAATGTTTTACTGTTATCAAAAGAGAGAAGAAGAGTTTCTTGATTAATGTACAAAAGAGGGTCAGTTTGTGTACTAAAACAGCATTGATGATGTACTTTAAAAATTGAAAGAAGATATGTCAGTGATCAATAGAGGTTGTTTATAGAAACGCAGCCTCAGAGCTGGTATGCTTCATAATGAAAATCAATATATCAGCATCTCATTCTGTTCATTTAGAAGAAAACATTTATATGAAAACATGAAAGAACTTCAAAAAAATTATCAAGAACACTAATAGATTGTCTGCAGGGACGTGAAAGTTATTGGAATATTGTTGGGACTTCAACTACGATTTACTAAGTTCCCCCTCTATCTGTGTGAATGGGATAGCAGGGCTTGTGAATTGCACCAGGTCAAAAGGAATTGGTCAATCAGAAATACTTTGAATCCTGGAGATAAAATGTCATAAGTAGTAGTTTGGTTAACCATGAAAATATTATTTTGCCACCACTCCATATCAAGCTTCGTATAATAAAACAGTTTGTGAAGGCTCTGAATAAAAATTGTGCTTTACATTTGTATTTGTTCAAAATTTCCTTTCCTTTCAGAGGCCAAACTTATAGAAGGCATCTTTGTGGCACCTTAGAATCTGATGAAAGATGAAGACTTCGAAACTTAAATAAGTGATGAAGAAAGACTGGCTTGGTGAGGTTTCAAAACAGATGTAACATGAGCATCAAACTTCATTTTTTTCACAACAATAAATTCCCCCCCCCCCTCCCCCAATAATGCTGGGGAATTTCAGAGATGAACACTTGGGAGAATTTTCGATCAAGGACGGAAAGAGATGGAAAAAATTATAGGAGAGATTTGGGGATGAAGTATAATGGCAGACTACTGTTGGTTCTTAAGAGAATCTTCAAGAAATGATGAGGGGGGGGGGATATTCTTAAATTGCGTTTTTAAATTTTTTTTTTTTAGTTTAGCTATGTGTAGTGAAATTTAATAAATTGTGCTGTGAAGCAAGTGAATGAAGAGAGAATTTTTGTGAATTGTAGTGAAATGTAAAATTTCTTTGTGAATTTATTTTTGTGTGCCAAACTTTTTGCATTCAGAGAGAGAAAAAGAGTTTGTTAATTTTTTTTATTAAGTTATGTGAATGGATATTTTGTAAATTGTATGAGAAACAGATGGCAGCCCTTTCTGGACATTTATCAAAAATATGAGCGGAGTGACTTAAATATTCCATCAACTTTGACCCGGAATGAAAGAATGGCACAAAATGGAATTGAAGTGAGCAATTTATTTGCATCATATTTTAAAAGCATTTATACAAACTGTTGGAATGATCTACAAATGCGAACGGAAACAAAGAAGCTTTTGTCAATCAGAAAATCAACCTTACCAAATTGAGAGTCCGCTATGATGGTGTATTTGAACAATTACATAAGCTTACATAACAAATACTGATGACATCCATCTTCCCCAGCAAGATATTGATGAGTTTAGTGGTTGGTGTCTGAGAAATAAACTAAAACTGAACGGTGGTGTGTGGTGATGTCGACTCGTTCTCTCCAATGTCAACCTACATTAATGGGCATCACCTTGAGGAAGTCGCTTCTGTAAAGGATAAATAAATAAAATAAAAAGCTTTGGGATTTTTACTCTAGGAATAACTGTCTGATTTGTTGCAGATGCGATTGAAAATGATTAATGAAGTTCCCAATGATGCCAAGGAGCCTTTATCAAAACTTCATAAATCTTTGAGTGGCTCATCCATTGACAATTTTCTTTCTTCCCTTGAAGCAAGCATAGGACCTGGATTGTGTGATATGATCCTACGAAAACAAGACAAAAGGAAAGAAAGGTGAGCTGTTGAAATGCTCTCTTCTTATTAAATGGTGTTAAGAATATAAATTCAGGTATATTTATGAGATAATTCTTTCTAATATTGAAGTAACAAATTGAATTATTGGCCTGAGAAAGGGAGAAATTATGAAAATGAAGAATCTTTAAGTAAAGCTACTATTCTCAATGCAGTTTATTAATGCATTGTTTAATTAGTATTGATTATAATATGTGCGAAGTTGTAAATGATTGTGTATAAAAAAACATTTTTTATTCTGGAACAGTAATAAGATTCAGGGAAACTGTTTACTTGTTTTCTGCCTAATATTCCTGGAATATTGCTGAGATGATGCTGAAAAGCATCTTTGCAATTTTATTGGGAATAATTTTTTAACTTGTAGGTACAGTTATCAAAGATAACTGCAAGATAAATTATCTCCTATCTTTTCCATGTTGTATTACAAAATGTAATTGAAACCTTCCTTTTCTTTTTTTATTCAGGCCTCAGATATATGCTCATCGTCAATCTTTACTAGAACAACTATCAGTTGTGCAGGATCCAGCAGTTGTGCTTCACATTGCCAGTCTTATCCTATTTCAAACTTTAACCCAGAGTATTCTTCATGCTTCAGGGAGATTTGTATCAAACATTCTATCTTTCCTTCAACCTCAACTTCCAGCAGAGATGTATAACTCGTTTCAGCAGTATCATGGTAAGAATTTTTAGTTTCATAGAACAAATTATTGAAATTATATCTATCAGCTTGCAGTATCATTTTATTTATGTTTTGTTATGTGCAAAAGAAACATGTTTATGACCAGAAGGAAGCATGGGAAGAAATTTACATGATAATCTAATAGTTTTTATTGTTGTTTTAATTTTGATTTACATTATTGTTTCCAATTTTGAATGTGTCATGGGTTTATGTATGTGTACTTCCACTTAGATTCAAGTATGCAGTATATTTCTTGTATTAAATAAACATTCTCTTTTTATAAAATTTCTATACAAAATCTTAATTATTTTCCTTTATATTGAGATGTAGAGTAACCAAAATAACATTGATTAAGCTAATAAAATGTTCCAGATATGGTATTGAAGCTGCTAAAAACAGATGAGAATGATCCAGATCATGTGGCTCTTATTACTCTATTACAAAATGGTATGTCAGGGATTAAAGAAATGGCTTCCACTTTCAAAAGGCCATCCACTTCAGAGAAATCCTAAGATAATGCAATAAAAGAGGGTCTATGGGCATTTTTGATTGTATGATTGGTGCAATGGTTTGTTCTGAGAGCAGTTATCTTTTTAAAAGTCTAATGATATTTAATAAATAAGATATATAAAATGATGTGTTTTCCTTTCCATACTTATCCTTAAAACATCCATACTACTCCATAAATTCATTACGACAAATTATTAGTGCTCAGACCAATGTTACTACTTATTTATACACATTGTTTGATTGTCTAAAGTCAAACCTTACAAAACACATCAATGGTAATGATGAGTATGACGGAATATATGGCACAGGTGAGTTCATAAACTTAATTAGAGAGTATTAATACCCTTTACATTGAGTTTCATACAGTACTTTTTTTCTGGGATATTTACAAGGATATCTACATTTACATGGCAGCAGTATTCAGGCAAGCTAGCTACCTGAATATATATATATATATATATTTGCAATCTGTTATATTCTTGCATTTAATGTATCTGTATCTTGCATTTAATGATTGAACCTATTGAAGAGATTCAGATGATATCTGCACAATCTTCTTTAATCCTTAGCTATTGTTTTGGAAGTTTAATGCTAAGTAATTTGGGTGGTTTTGTAGCTTTCTGTTGCTACCCTGGGTCTCAAAAGGGATCCAAAGAGAAAAAACTATTTTTTCAGGGTTTGTTATTAATGTATGCTTTTCTCATTTTTAGTGGCTTCATTGATTTTGGTATTAATTCATTCCTTCAGTTATTGCATGTACTGGGAACTTTATTACATGACATTTAATTTTCCTGATATTTTGTGGGTCACAGTTGCTTTGAAGTAAGTCATAAATACATAATCTTCAAGTTGGATTTCTAATAGAATTATGTTTATTACCTGTGTTTTCTTAATTGCAATGATTGATAGTACAGCTAATCAGTAATATTAAAATAGAAAGGTTATTTATTTTTAATTTTGGTTATCTTCTGACTACAACAGATGGAAAAAAAGGAGTGTTTAAAAAAGTTATGAAATTATATAGCAAAAAAGTTGAATTTAATGCAATAATAATAATAAATGAATAAGGTTATTCATGTATTCATTGTAAATTATTAGAAAATGCAACCACATAAATTGTCTTCAAAATTATGACCTGGAGAACATGTGGGTCTGATAGATCCAGAGTAGCATTAGTAAAACATCTGAAAAGGTTAGTAGTGGAAGGCTAGGTATATGTGATACTTTTTGCAACTGAATTTGACTTCATGGTGTATTGTGGGTATAATGAAGTCATTGTGTAATATTTGATACAAACCACAGCACATTGGCAAGCAATCCGAAGTTTGGGATTGAAATCGCTACAGTATTTCTAAGTTTGAATTGGCTGCAGTGCCCCTAAGTTGTATTCTGTAGGTATAGAAAGGTTTTAATATGGATTTTTAAATCAATAGTGTATTAGCCAGTGACAGACATGCCTTTTTGCCAAGGAGCCAATAGTATTGCATAATTTTAATTTTGAGGGCTTTTCTTTTCTTTTGGATACGTGTATTCCTGGTCATTTTTTGATGAAGATGTAGACCAAGGTATTTTACACAATTTGTCTGTGGTATTTCCTTGTATTGATTTTTACTGGAGGACATTATTTGGTCTGAGTGGAGTCTGTGGAGAGATTTGCTTCCATTTGTTTTTTTATACATTACTCTTTATACCATTTTTGCAGCAGAGAGAGATAATGTTCTCTCCATGGCCCATTATTAACAATTATTAGAATTCAAATGTAATAATCCAGGGTCTCCCATTAGCTATTCTCTTCTTCAGTTTATCTTCTGCTAGATGAGTAGTCGAATTTTTACGAAACTTTACAATACATTGGATTTTTATCACTGGATAAAGTACAATATTTATATCATGTCTTCCGTTATCGTTATATCATAAATAACGATTAACAATATTTGAAAACAATCAAATCAAAGGAAGGGTAATTTCGTGGAAATATTGATATTAATAAATTTTGAATAGATCTTATTTTAAAAGTATGTAGTAAGGGATCTATTACGATAATTAATATTGCTCTTGACATAAAAGGCCTCTTAAAACCGAAATTCAGTTTTTACCAATCTACATAATGGACATATGTAGAGATATACGAACATACATATCGTAAATTCTAGGCTCATAAACATATCATGATTTTTTATTGTTTTATACCTTGTAAATTATGAAGGTTACAAAATTCTAGGCCTTCGGAATGTCACGGTGGGCAATCTGAAACTTCCCGCGTCCGAATAAACGAAAGCTATTCAACATGGCTGCAGGGTGTGAGCATATGGTGTATTAGTGTGCTGCTACACATGGTCCAGAGGAGTTTACGAAAGGTAATCTACCCAATATAGTATTACATTGTGTACGCTATTTTTATACATCGACCAAATTGTGACTGGAGAAAAAGGAATTCCTATATCTTATTAGCAACTAATGGCCGGTCGTTCACTAACGTTGACGTGCGTGTTCACGTGAATATACTAGCATGCGTTTTGTGAAGGAATTGTTGCGAGGGCATTGGCATTTTGCTGCTAATTTTTAAGCATTGGAAACGAGTTTGTTCACTGCCAAGGGGTTATTTTTGAAATTCATGTGACAAATTTAAAGGTTAACCCTCGTGGACGTATAGCTCGTTCACAGAGCCCTGGTATCGTTCAATATCTTGCAAGACTATTCATTGGTTTGCTTCATGTTTGGTTCATGCTTTTTATTCGTTGGAAAGGAAAAAGTGATGTATTTAGTATTAACTCGAGATATAATAACTCGATTAAAAATATAAAATACTCCTTATATAACAATAATTCATAACTGTTATAATATGATTGTCATTACATCTGATATCAATATAATTGTGCATTTTGTCAGTTGTAATTGAGAAGGACCGTAGTTTAGACTAATTTGGTAATCAGATGAGAAGACGAGAAAATTATTGTAGTTTTTTCGGAAGAAAGTAAGCGATTGTAAATGGAGATCTTCGCAAACAATTTATTTTCAGAAATTTGTAGAGTGCAGTCTGAGGTATAAATTTGTTAAATTATTTTTTTTGGTATCAGTGTTGATTGATTAAAATTACAATGTTTCTATGATACTGGAAGAATAATGTTATTTTCGTTTCGTTTTAACTTGCGGGTCGAAGTAGGCTGTTTTCGTAGTACTGAAATTGGGGAATTGCACCAATATATTCACAAAATTATTTGTTGAGAATGTATATTATCCTTTCTCACGCCAACCCGTTCGCGCTTAATCTTAACGCGCATGTGCATTCAGACATTTTCTTAAGACCATGAAAGTGAAGAACTAGTGGTACTACAGAATGGCACAGAGTATAATCATATTGGATGTCTGTTTTCTTTGGTGTGGGCTAGCTATATTTGCCACATCCTCTTCAAGCTGCCATCTACCACCGCCCAAAATACATTTTTTTGACATTTTCTCAATATTCTGTTTCCTAATTGTAGATCCAAAATATTACTTTAAGAATATTAAAGAAGAGTAAAACATTGTCCTACATAGCAATTTTCCTTGAAAAATTTGGTGCCGTTTTTAAGAAAATGGTGTTTAAGCATTACTGTAAATGTGAGATTTGAAGCTCTTTTTCACAGATTTTGTTATTTTTATTCATATTAAATAGCACTATCCGTTGTATAAGTATATTTTTGAGAAAATAGCATTTGAGCGTTTCTGAAAATGCGGAATTTTGAGCTCATTTTCACAGAAAACTTGGTTTTCGAGAAACTTTATGACATAATCTAAACACATGTACTCGTAAATAAAATAATGTTAACTAATCGCTACCAATGTAAATATTAACGACGTGAGAGACAAGTCTAAAAATTACATTTTTGTGATTGTATGTTTTTTATTATCTGTACCAAAAGTTTAAAGAAAAAATTCATTTGAAAGAAAATCTTGTTTTTGTATTTTTTTTTTAATTTTCTCAAATTACACGCAATATTGCGCGAAAACTACTAAAATTTCCAAAAAAAAAAATTACATGATAATCATGAAAGAACTTATTATGGACAACAAAATTTACTTGAAGGAAATATCTTCATCTTCCAATTTATAGTTGTAGGAAGTCGCCGAAAAACATTCAAACTTTTGCAATTATCGAAAATTCAGATGTCTCGGCGAAAATAGGTTCTATGACACATTTTTAAGTGTATTTGACTCCATTATTGCAATAAATTTAAAGAAAAAATTAAAGCTATTTTTGAGACAATTTTGAAAATGCCTCAAGCGGTTCTAATAAAGTGCTTTCAATAATTACTGAATGTTTTTCAAAATAGAAGAGCTTCGTCTCAGGCCAGGCCACATACTTTATCGCCCCCTTAGTATCAATTGTGTAATAATATTATATCGCATTTCTCTCTATATCAACACATCTCAGTCAATGAGCGCTGTCAATAAAGCTTGCATGCAGCGATGGACGCTGATAACAATGGGCACATATTTTCTTTTCACTTCTTGCTAAAAGCGCCATTTTTGCCGTACATAGAACTGTTTTCAGTTTGCATTGTAGTTTTATGAAATTTCTTGTAAAGCCCGCTTTACACGATCATTTTTCGTCGGTACAGACAAGTTACTGACCAGACTGGATGCAATTTGTACGTAAAATGAAGCATGCTTCATTTTTTCGCGTAACAAATTGGCATCCAGTTTGACTATGGCGCTCTTGGTTGTTACTCTCATGGAATTTTTGATTCCGTGCCTGGAAGAGTTGTTTCGAAACGTTAGAGCGTTTGTGCTGTTTGGTTGGTGAATTTCGTGAGTTGAGTGGTCACACTGCTTTTCCTTTCCACTTCAATCAAAAATCAAATACTTCAAACACGATATCTACCACTTGGCAACTGGGCGAATACGTACCCTTCATCATTCTTTCCGCGTATTGGCATTGGTTTACGTACGTGGATGTTCAACTGTTTAAACTTCCAGCGCTTTTTGCGGCGTGTGGAGGAAGTATTTTCATCAACGATTGGCTACAGAGGCAGAAATGAAATCGGTGTATAACATCGGGATCAGTTCATCCAGTTTCCGTAAGAAACAACGCCATCCTTTTTCCATCCACTTTCTGTACAGAAAAATGATGCAAAAATGAC